TTTCCTCTTTCCTACAGAGTACAGCATATTATGCACGTATGTATATATTGTATGCGCATATATATATAGACGGGGAAGTCCGGCGCGTGACGCATATATGTATTATTCCTTTTATATAATACAAATATATACAATATTTTAATACCATATTATTGCATCAACCACTCGCGATAATAAAGCGCTCTTTTACAAATTTGATAGAGAAATAGCGACTTATTTAAATATACAAAGTACACACATAAACACACACTATATATAATAGTATATTGTGTGTGTATGTGTTGTAAATATTTGTATATATAGAAAGTTAATATATGTATATATATATATGTATATACAGGGTATTTGAAAAGAATGGGACCCTCTATGATCTCCAGAAGTACGAACATTCACGGAAATAACCCGAACAAAAGTTGTAGGGATCATGAAGGACTATCTTTTGGTGACCTTGAACTTGACCTTGAACTTGACCTTGAGGATCAATTGAAGGTCAACTTTGTTTTCTTAAATGGAAACCCCCATTTTTTATTGCATATTCTTGTAGCTTATCTCGAGAGCTTTTCAAAACACTATAATAAAGTATTTTTTCATTAAGTACTTTTTGAGTTATTTTATATTTTAATCTGACATATTTTGATATAAAAAATAAAATATCTTGTAAAATATTTAGTTTTCGATAATCTTACCGTAATACTTTTATGTACAGAATAATGAGACAAATCAATTAGTATAAAAAAAGACAAATAATTGTTTAAAAAAATACATTGTAAATAATTACATACTTTTTTTTAAAAACAATTATGACAGTGGCTGAATAAGACGAGGAAGAACATATTGAAAAATTAGACATGCTCAGAAAGCACATAAGGATCATGTTTCTATCTTCCGGCACTGACCTACAGAGTATAGTCGGCCACTGCTATTTAATTGCGGTACTTTTCGGACAAGCAACGCGCCATGTGCTGTCTAAATTAAGCGTTTGTGACGACACGTGCATGGCAGGCTACCTTGCTCAAAGCCTTGTGCCGCCCACATTTCCGACGTAACGATCGTAGCGATGTAACGATGCGTTTCCGACTCTAGGTCCATTTGCAAAAAGTGATCCTTAGGATGCCCCCGACAATCTCTGAAAGTTTGTCGGTTGAATATCCGGACACCCTGTATAGATGGGGAAGTCCGGCGCGTGATGCATATGACCCCAATCTGCAATCGGCATGAAAACATTCGTCCAAAACGCTTCGAAGGAAAAGCCGAGTAAGCGTGAAAGGAACTTGAATCTGCCACGAGATACACCAGTAAGCATTACGCTCCGGATGTGAGATACTCGCTTTTATCACGAGTAATTCCCATAATATAGAAATTCTTAAACTTTAATTTAATGATATATATATTTAACATAACATATAACAAAATATCTATGTATTTATTAATGACTGATAATGAGAATGTTTTGTCATAACTGTAAATAATGGTTTTAGTTCTTATATTACAAAAATTATAGTTTTATACTACCCATATGTACTTCTATTGGTTTTCGAAAGATTATTCAGTTTGAATTGTTTGTAATTAAGAAATTAGCTAAGAAATATTAATCTGTATCATGTCTATTAGAAAAATTTTAGTTGAAATTATTGAAAAATTTATAAATAAAAAATAACAATGTAAATCTGTGAGTAAGAGAGAAAGAAAAAGAGAAAGAAAGAGAGAGGGGGGGGGGAGACACTTTACACATTTACGTTTTTTAAATAATAAAACTAGAAATATACTGTCTAATTTATATGTTTTTTTTATGATATATAAAATAATTATATCACAATATATTATACTTACTGATCGTTCAAATATCTGTCGATACCTTTTAAAAATATATTAGGCGGCAAGGTTCGTTCTAATACGCGCCACATAATGGATCCTATCGATAATTAAAAGAAAAATATAATTTAGTATATTCAAAATGTGTATATGTGTGTGTGTGTGTGTGTGTGGTGCTTTTATTGGGTAATGCGCATAAGTTTGTAGATATATTTTTATTTTTGTATCTTAATTATATATAATAAATATATCTTTATTATCTATAATAAAAACAAAACAACGTTTTTGTTTAGCAATATTTAGATATCAAAAGCTAAAAGAGTATTAAATATATTTCAATGAAAAATAAACAAAGAACATAATTAAAGCATAGAGATAATGAATAATTAAACACATGTAAAAATAATAAATTAGATCACTATAAAAATCTGTAGGTTTTACGTTTTTTTATGATTCTTTTGTAGTAGTAGATAAACAATTGTAGTTATAATTTTAAAAGTACACATTATATAATTGCACAAAAATCATACGAATTCATTAGTTATTTGTTATTTAATTATTTATTTATTTATACAAGGTTATATACATACTTTTGATATGGGAAAGAGAAAAACATAAATCATTTTTAGAATAGGTATTATATTCTATAAAAGAATTTACAACGAGATACGAGTTTAGATCCAATATTTCATGTTGAATCTGAACTACAAATAAATCCATCATCCAGAATTTTGGCATAGCCTAAAAGCAATTCAATATGATGAAACAGAATTTGTAGATATATTTTTATTTTTGTATCTTAATTATATATAATAAATAAATCTTTATTATCTATAATAAAAACAAAACAACGTTTTTGTTTAGCAATATTTAGATATCAAAAGCTAAAAGAGTATTAAATATATTTCAATGAAAAATAAACAAAGAACATAATTAAAGCATAGAGATAATGAATAATTAAACACATGTAAAAATAATAAATTAGATCACTATAAAAATCTGTAGGTTTTACGTTTTTTTATGATTCTTTTGTAGTAGTAGATAAACAATTGTAGTTATAATTTTAAAAGTACACATTATATAATTGCACAAAAATCATACGAAATTTAGTTTTAAATTTTAAATATTTTTTTTGTTACTGTCATTGCAAGAATTATAATAAGATATAATAAAAGTAAAAATAATATAGTTAATATAATATAATATATAAAAAAAGAAAAAGCTTCTGATACATATACAAACTGGATTTATTATTTTTAATTGCATAATATGAAGTATATATATCTATAATAAAGTTCTCCAAGGTTAATGAGTGTGATTATTTAAAATTAAATGTCATTAAAATTACTTATTAAAAATATATCTGTAAATTTCTTCTATATAATTGTAGTTTATACGTAACTATTTCTTCAATAATTTAAATTTAAACATACGTTATTTATTTCTCATACATTATTAATCTTCGTTTCTCTGAACGGATTTACAAGAATTTAAAAATCTTTGATTATCATATCTTTTGATATTAAAAAAATAAAAACAAAATTTACATGAATATTTAAGAATTGTTTATATTGCTATATTCTTAATTGTTTTAACTACATATGTTCAAATAGAGATAATACAATCTTCTCGATAATATATGTTTGAAGAAACATAGTAAAACCTTCGTTTAACCATAAATGAAACCAATAAGTTGGAATCAACAGATTGCCGATATATTTTTGTGCCATTTCATCTGGAGATAACAGAAGATTGATGACATTACCAGACCCATTTTAACTGAATTAAAGATAATTAGTTATTCAACTAAAGGCAATTATTTTAGCTCATCCAGCTAATGTTTTATTATCAAAAATGTATAGATCTTATATGCAGCTGCTAAATATAAGGGAAGGTAAGATAAAACCGGGTACTTTTTTGGATTTGTCTTCTTACAAAAAATCAGAGGGCAACAAAAATTCTATTGACCGTTAGTAGTCTTTAGTGGATCCTGAACTATGAGAAAATAAGACCAGTTGCTAAAAAAAAATATTTAATTACCAAGGATAACAGGATTTTTTAAAGAGATCAAAATTCCCGGTTTTGTCCCACCAGTAGAATAAAATCGGGTATCTATTTGAAAGCATGTAAAACGCCGTACAATTACGAAATCTTGAATTATTTTAATCAAAATATAATACAGAAATATATTCTATAAACAAAAATCACAAACCAAGATATCCTCTTACTCTACATTGCTGCAGGAGTTTCTTATTTAATTTTTTAACTTTAGGGGTTTCAAAAAGTCTTTTCTTTAGTGGTTTCTTTTTCTGAATACCAGTTTCCATTTCCAACTGCTTTTTGTAGGAACAAAGTCAGGATGGCATTTTTTTCTTTTTTTTTACTATATGAGGTGTGTAGATACCCAATTTTGCCCTAACACGAGGAAAATAACAAACACGGCGACTGTATATTCCGGCATATAAAATGACGATGAAAATTAGCGATATATTTAATACGTACAGAATGCATAATGCTGCATTTACCGAAAAAGATGCTCCGTGTAGAAAAAGTCCACGACGACTCGATTGTTGCCCCGATATCGATCTTTTTTGGTCCAAAAATTTTGGATTTCTCTTAAAAAAGAAATATTATTTGCACGTGAGCATGGTTTATCTCAAAATAATGATGACGTCAATCTACAACTAATAACACGAGTTGGTCAAAGATAATAGCATTCATCATGAAGAAACAGAGGTATGTATCTTGCCTATCCGGTTTTATTCTACTTTCCCCTATTTATCCAAATATCAAATAATGCGGATAATTTGATATTGATAGCATTAATATTTAAACTCAATATTATATAACTTTTAATATACAAATATAAAATTTTTTTAATTTCTAAAATAAAATGTATAACAATTTCAAATCGTCTTTTTACTTAAAGAAAAAATAATAAAAATTTGTATCTCTCCAAGTTGGTGAATTCAAAATTTATTTACGATCTTACCAATTTACATTGGTTTGTTATCATTATCTTGTGACCGCGAATGTTATATTTTGTTTGTTTTCTTTCGTTTCTGTTACATTTAAGAGAACAGTTCACGCCGAAACACTGTGTGATTATTCATATTTGCGAACTATAAAAGAAGAAACGTGCCTTTGACAGTAATAATAATTAATAACCCGAATAATTATATGCCATAATAATTTTATACCATTTCACAACGTAAGTCTGAACTATATTTTATATATATATTTTAAGAAATATGTTTTGCGTTTGTTGTTTTGTTGTTAGCATGCTCTCGATATTTTATATATTATTAATCTTATCGTTAGATATTTTACTTTTTATATAATTTGTTAATAATTTTCACGCGTTTTATAGTTATCTAATAACATCACGTTTACTTTAAATTGAGCATTATGGGACCCATTCCTCCCGTCGCCTTCAGAGAAAATGATCCTCCACGATATGAAGATGATATTATGGCGAACGATGATGTCTTTAGAGAAAATATTAATCTTGAAGATGAAGATGATATTATGACAGACGATGGTGCCTTTAGAGAAAATATTTATGTCGAAGATGAAGATGGTATTATACTGAACGATGATGTCTTTAGAGGAAATATTTATCTCGAAGATGAAAATGAACATACTATAGTAAATAGTAGTGCAAGTTATAATTTCCAAGATGAAGATAATAGTATATTGAACAGTAATGAGAGAGAGAGAGACTTCAGAAGAAATAATGAAAATGAAGACAATGAACTGCCATTTTACATGTTATTATTTACACCTACCCTCGAATGTATAAAAAATGGTATGTATATAAAATTTATTAGTTAATTTAGATATGTGATATTTTACCCATCTGTTATTGCCCATCTATATTATGATGATATAGTACTGTACGTCGCATTGCACCCATTTTTCGACGAATTCGAAATTGCAGTGGTTAGCTGTCCCTGTCTAACCAGACCGCCATACAATCTTGCCGCAGATGGTAAGAAATATAATAACAAGCATTTCCGATCTTCCATGTTTGAAATGCAATACATTTATACAATATAGTTTACATTTTAACAGGACTATCTAGTAACACGGGGATTTTGCATATGGGTGGTATAAATAATCTCAGCCCAATCCCGCGAACAGATCTCATATTCGACATTCAATATATATTATCAAGATATTGCTACGATGTCTTTGTTATTGGATCAGGTTATGCCACAAAACCATTTATGCCTTACAACGGTCATGTATGTATCATCGATATATTTTTACATACAAAAAACATATTAGCTTCATGAAAAGGAATAAAATGTGCAAACAAATTATTGTTTTATTCTTACTATTTTTGTTACTACATTTGTTTTATTTTAATTATATCAATTTCACTAATTGTAATAGCACTTTTATTTATTTTAATCCCATTTTTGTCTCTTTCTCTCATTATTCATAAGAATGCAATTTTTGTTATAGCTTACTATAAACGCGATCGTCTCGGAGAATCCCACAAATGTTATTAATAATAGTTGTATCTCTTATGAGGATGCTAGTACTGGCCTGAATAAATTGAAAATTATCAACGATCCCAATCAAATGAAATGCTCTATGTTGGGCACCTTCTTTTTCAGTGAAGGTAGACGAGGAATGGTGATCAAAATGCGCATTAAAGGACAGAAAACCACTGATAATATTATAATGTTGATACAAAAATGTTTGAATGTTTGCTATCAGTATCCAATCGGTAAGAAATTATCTATATGAGAGTATAGTTTGATTTAACGAAATAAATAAAGCATAAAAATAATGAAATTGTTTCACAAAAATAATGTGTTTATAGATAAATAAATCTTTCATACCCAATATTTTAGGTTTAGGTGTCGTACTCGTAATAAACGGGGGCCAAACGTTACAATTTATTACACCAGAATATTATCCAATATGGTTCTCTACACATACAGATTTTTATAAGTGGTTAAAGTACTCTAAACATAACTGCACGAATTTAATAACTGTGGGTGCATTAACCAACTCCTCATTTATAAATTTTGGACAGAATTCTGATGGAAATGTAAGTTACTTGTTAAGTACAGAAGCAGGCATTACTTTTTAAATCATTGCTTTTACATTCTTCATTTTTAAGTGGATTGTCATTAAATTACAAATTCTGGTTTCTCTTTTATTTTTTTCTAATTAATTTGCATTTATACGCATTTTGTTATATATGTATTAATTAAATTAATATATAAGGCTGTAGGGAGCCGTTACAGATTTAACACTTTCTCCAATTATGAAGCGACCGGAGAGTTTTGCACCAATGTCGCATCGGATGACACAGAGTACATTTTTTACTTCAATATAGCGCAAAAAGTATATTTCTAAATGTGGCAAATATTTTTATTCTGAATATAAAATCAAGTCCTTTTTATTAAAGCGCCATATGTCGTGAGAAATTCAGAGATATATTTTCATAAAGTATTCGTGATGAAGATATCTCACATAAATCTTTAGGTTTGCACAAGAATAATCTGTTCTATTTTAGAATGCAACAAATCGTAACATTTATTAATATACTGCTATACTGCTAATATATGTTATTTTTGATATTCTGACTAAATAACGTAGTTCAAATAGTTTACGTTTGTTTTAATTCACAACGAAGAGAAATATCACAGGAATAAAAAGAAAATTAAATATTAAAAAAATCGACGATATCTTTCTATAAACTTTTGCTCTTACTTTTTCTGCAAATAAAATGATTTGTTCGACTTTTTAAAAATAATTAGCATAAAGCTATACCCACCCAAAGTATATTTGTAAATAAATATAACTGTCCGAATTAGATGGCATAAACAAATATAGAACTGTATCTACTGCAGAACGTTAAATTTTAATTTCGTGAAACTATTGTAATTCGTTGATATTATTTTAGTTTCATATTTTCAATTTAAATAAATGCACACACACAAATATTTTCAATTTTGTAAATTTATTACAATTTACATTTTTGCCAATTCGTAAAAAGATGTATTTACAATCTAACAAAATTATTAACCTGTTATTACTTATAATCAATACAGTCTTGTACTTGCTTATGCTATCATTTTTTTTTAATTTAGAAGGAAACCATTTAATTTGCTGGAATATTTCGTGTAATATTAGTAATATTAGTAATATCCGCATATATGGATTATAAAAGTAGAATAATATCTTTCATAAATAGTAATAGAAATATGATCACTATAGTAACATACTATAACTTTCAATATTTTTAGAGTAAAGTTATATTTTATAAACAATTTGCAAAAATTTTGTGAGATACATATTTATATATATTGTTATATATATATAACATTATATATATATATATATATATATAGGTATATATGCACAACAATAGTACTTACATATACATTTAAATAACGTTCATATTAAACAATAGCCGCCATAAAGTAACTTTATCCAAGTCTCATTAAAATTTATAAATTTACATAATAATCAACACGACAAAATAATTTTCTAAGTTTTTACCTGCATGCTTGCATTGCTAATATTACTAAATAGATAAGTAACACTTTATATTGATAGCCGTATGAATTTTTATGAGTACAAATTTAAAAAAAAAGCAACATGCATTGAAAAAAACAAAACGTGTGCGATATTACACATACAAAAAATAATATTAGATAAATATAAGGGATGCTCCCGGGTTAAATGGCCAAACTTGAAATATGAATGTAGGCCTCCAAAACAAACAAAAAATTTTCCTCTGTAGTATGCTCGCAAACGCTTCGTTCAAGAGATATTGATTTCTTAAGTTATAGAACTATAGAAATGAATAATGTCGAAATAATTTACTTTTATCCTTTTTATTGCTTTACAGTACTCAAAATTTAATTATTAAATATTTTGATAAAATAATGGCCTCCAACCCGGAGACAAGCATTGCACCTATCGATGAGAAAACGAATAGCTGATTGACATTGTGCTTTCTTTGCTTGCATCCTCTATTTTAGCTTTACAGTGCAAACACAAGCCTGTCAATAATCTTCAATCTAAAAAATTAAAAAAAAAAGAAAAAAAACGATATTATTCATTCCTATAGTTCTGACTTAAAAGGTCAATATCTAGACTTAAATATCAATATCTCTTGAACAAAGTATTTGCGAGCATACTTGCAGAGGAAAATTATTTTTGTAGGTCCTAAATTCATATTTTAAATTTTGCCATTTAACCTGGGAGCACCCTGTGTAATTATATATACGTGTGTATGTGTGTGTGTGTGTCATTATAAAATAAACTGTAGCAGACGTATTAGCTACAATTTTTTATACCTTTCTCTCACGGTCCGCGTCATATTCTCCTTCAAGGCTACTGGTACTGCTAGCTGATGTTGTTCCAGCACTGGTTTTTCGTGTAAGCTATTGATGTTAGTTAATGATTATAACATACTCTCTCTATCAATATGTTCCAAAAATAGAAAATATTAATTTTTCAAGACTTAAGCTTTCTAATGTGATAGAGATCTTTATAATTTTACTTATGTACTGATTGTGAGTTCAATTCTACTCTTATATCTCAAACAATACATGTGATACGCGATTCTCTAATATGTGTTGTATGATATAAATTGACATGCTTTTGTTGCATTGACATGCAACATTATATAATAAATCCAAATTTGTGTAGAGGAAAGAGGAATAAGATGACAGAATGGGTAAGATAAGGAGTTGATAATTTTTATAAGATTTCTTCGCGCACGTGAATTTGTGTGTGTGTACGTGTGTGTATGCGCGCGCGCGCGCGTGGATAACTATAGATGTAGATGTATGTAAATTCCCATTCTTAGCATTACCCACGATCTACGATGAGAACGTGAGTTATCCCTTTGGAATGCTTGATTATTAATGTGAGTCTTCTTACTTCTCACATGGTTGTTAGTCTCTGTCCGTCCGTTCGTCTAGTAAGCGTGCACATGTGTGTATGCGTTTGATTGGAAAAGAATTGCTCAAGATTTACGTAATCCAAACAAATAAAACAAATAAAAAATTTAATCCGAAACCAATCGAAAATATTGGATACAAAAACAAATTTCTTAATTCTTTTTATTTCTTTTTCATCTGTTGAATACATGCTGAAATGTTCAAAGAACAGTTTCATCGCGTATTATTAGCCTCATTTTTATTTTTTTATGCAAAACTGTAAACGTTATCATTATATTAGACATACACACACGTGAGAGATGAGGGAACTCACGGTAATCAAGCACTACGAACGTGAGAGACAAGGGGACTCACGGTAATCAAACACTCCGAACGTAAAAGGCAAAGGAATTCACGGCAATCAAGCACCCCGAACGTGAGAAATAAGAAGGCTCATCAAGCGCTTCAAAGGGATCAAATACGCGTCATGTCCTTATCATTAATCCTGGATAATGCTTTGGATCAATCTCTATTGACTCACTTATACATCAATGGAGAACGTAAGGCACAATTGTTGTTTTATTACTTTTCTGATAGAAACTTTTGCAAGAATATTGTATAAATGTTGTTGCGCTCTTAATTTATGAAATTTGTACATTATATCGCGTAAATTTTTTTATGTATTAATGGTATTGTTTTTTAATAATTAAATATTTAATTTGAAAGCGCGAACATTTCAAAATTACAGCGCATATCGTTTATAAATTTTGCTGCGAGTCATTTTCACATTCACATGTTGAAATTTATGCGTACTCTACATTCTAGCAATTTTTTAAATATAAAAAGAATTTTTATCTCCCTCTCTCTCTAATACAAACGTATAAATATATTACCTTCTCTTTTTGTTTCTTTATTGGGCTAGGCCGTCGGTCTATATGTTCTATATCATCAGGAAGTGTCTCAGGCTCATAGCTCATAGTATGCCGTTTGCTTGGTTCGGAACCATATGTTTCAACTGATTTAGGCCCACCTAATGCTATACAAGGCAGTCACACTACTTCAACATCTCAGTATTGCAGATAGATTTAAGGATATAATTATAAAAAGGCACTTGTGGTTTATAATAAATATTTTGAAAAAACTCATGCTTATGCAAGCTTGTGTATGCCCTAGTGGAAAACTTTTAAATCAGACATGTATCTGAATAAACATATAATATGAATTGCAGCAATTAAAGTTTCTACTAAATCATTATTTGCAAGTGATAAAAATTTTATTTACCATCCATGCTTCTAGATGCGAGGCGTCGGCCACTCAAAGTCCTCTCGAATTGCGGAGGTTGTCTATCAATAGGGGTTTTCTTCGTTTCGTAATGAGTTCTTCCAGAATATCGAAAACGAGATCCCAGATATGGAATTAATCCCACTTTCTTCACAGGCTCTGGACTCATAAGTCTATAAAAATAAAAATTTCTCATTTGATTAAAATGTGTGCCATGAATTTAAAAAAATGCTACTTACAATTATTACTTACCTGAAGAAAGTATGATGCTCCACACACACTTTCCATAATTTTTTTGCTGCTCTGTGATTTGCCAATTTGAATCCAATTGTAGATTCAAACTGTTCAAAGTCACCTGGTCTAATTTTAATGTAGAAATTATGTCTTTTGTAAGATATTTTTAATATCTTTGGCCAGGCAAATCTATTAATTCTTAAACAATCTCTATAAACAAGAAGGCCTGAAGCGCATACACCTAACATTATATCAACACCTTCCGAATCTTTTGCGGGATGAAGATCTACGCCATACATAGCTAATTTTTTCGCATTTTCGAGATAATGGAGTTCCGCTTCGGCGGGTGTTTGACCTCTGTAACATAGCCAAAAAATTACTATTTAATTAAACAATAACTATTATGCTATGTTTCCTCATCCTACAAATTGAAACACAGTTGTTTATACAAAAACGAAACTAACTTATGTGTTTTATGGAGATCCATCACTTTCTCGATTAATTCAGGCGTTTGGTTAGGTGCAAACTTAAAATCTTTCAAATATGTTCTTCCATGTTCTTCAGGATCATAATCTCCAATTTCTGACTGAACCAGATAGGAGCCTAAGAGAGCATGTGTCACAAAAGAACAAAGTAGACGACCTGTAATAATATCGTTTCTGATTTGTAGACACAGTTGATAACGCGTAATATCTTCTTGCAATTGAGCTGGGTCTGGTGGGTAAAATTTCACTTCAAAATTAAACTTCCATGGTTCAGCTAAAATCATACATTAACTTTAGAGGAAATACTCCCACATATTATTATCTATCATTATATCAATAATGATTTTTTTTGTTTGAGTTTTCATACTTTTTATAAATTTTATAATTCTCTTATAAAGATCCAACCAATTGCGAGAATCGTGTCTGTCTTCGTAAATAAGACCAAAATAATCTTTCTCCAGTAAATTCATGCTTTGACAAATCATATCGAGAAGTTCTTGGCCTCTCGCCTTTCTCTGCAATAAATCCAATATATCTAACATTAACATCAAATAAACAGAATATAATTTTTTTCATTTATATACATATAATAAACATGATCAAAACTTTTGCACACTCACATCGATGTAGTAATCCCGTACAGTACCGTCTAGAAGGGTAATTTTGGCAAGAGCCATTTTTCCTTTGCTAACCGGGCTCTTGGTGGGCGAGTTTGTACCGGTTCCATTTTCCGCCATTGCTTCGGTCGGAGCATCAGTAGTCTTTTGCTCTTCCGGCATATTTCCGCTTTATTTTATATCCGATTTTATATCTAAAATTAAACACATTATTTTTTTATATATTTCATAAATTTTTTATAAATTTATTGTTGCTATGAGTAATTTTTTTATAAAACAATGATCTACAAAAATTAGCTTTTACTAAAAAGCTGAGGTTTTCTATAAAAAAAATAATTTTACAGAAAATTGTATTATATTGGGTTGAACGGAAAATTCGTGCCGTTTTTTTCGGTCTTC